TATCTATATTTTTAATTATTTACATTGTTGGTGCGTTGAGAAATGAATATAATTATCCATCGCGCTGTAACACTCCGGAATTTGGCATCGATGCAATGACAGCTACAATAGCATTCTATATATATATATACAGTGTGTGATATCAATTGGAAAGTGATTGGGATGAAATCCGGGATTTTATTTTTTTCCGTATGATTGATTACGTCATTGTGAAATTGCTATTAATCATGAAACAATCGAGGCGATATCGCAGGTACATTTCAACGAATTTGTCGTAAATTCTACGATGTTCTTAATCACCGTCTCGTAGTCGACGTAATTTGTGGTTTAATAAATTAAATTCTCGCTATACGTTTTTGATGACGCAGAAAGATAGTTGACGCGTCGGTTAAATATAACCACTGAAAATATCGAAAAATATAAATAAGATTTATATTTGGAATTCAATCCACATCGTTTACTTATATAAATGGAAATCATACAATTAACTCGAGATTGCGGATGTGCTTAAATTGTACATGTTCATTGAAACAAAAATTACGCTAAGTTAAAAGTAGTGCTTTCTGATCTAAAAAAAAAATAAATTGCAAAACGTGTCATATTGGCCAAGTTAGATTGAACGAAATGTAAAGTGTCATAAGATGGAAGGAAGAGACGGAAAGAGTGAATAGGGGAGATCTCCGATCGTAATTAAATAAACGTTCCGGTCTGTTCGTTATATAAAGGCGAATCTATTTAAAGGGTCGATGCACTCGATCGAAGCGATGCACAAAGAACTGAAGCGTTGCTTTAGAAACTCTCGCGTGCCTTTTTAATGATTTATTAATTACCCTCGTGTGTAAAAGCAGGCATTTGAAGTTCGTACACATCGCGAAGATAATTACAAATTCGCCGAGTGTACGGCTAGGAAACGTGATGTCGGACTTCCTTTGCACTTCGCCGGAGGAAATCTGGCAAAGAACAACTTCTTTTTGCCGCGACGACGAAATATCTCGATTAAGGCAGCGCGGCTTTATAAATGTCGCAAACATTAAAAATTGTATTACTTTTATTGAATTTATTGAAAAGAACAATTTTTTAATATAAACATTTTAAAATATATAAAATTATTTCTATTAAATCTAGAGAAGAACAATTTTTTAATATAAACATTTTAAAATATATAAAATTATTTCTATAGAAATAATTTTATATATTTTAAAATGTTTATATTAAAACATATTAAACATTTTATAGAAATCGTCATCATTATTTTTTACGACAGAAAAGAACAATTTTTTAATATAAACATTTAAAATGAAATTGATTTTTTAATATAAACATTTTAAATTAAACTTTAATTATTTCTATAGAAATAATTTTATAGAATAATTTTATAGAAATCGTTATCATTATTTTTTACGACAGAAAGAGCAAAGATATTTTCGATGAAAGATATAATATAGACCCAATTAAAACAAAAATGAAACGTAAATGTAACACAAAATTTTTTCATTATAAAATATTCAAAATATCAAAGACTATAGTCTTTGACTATATTTCTATAGAAATAATTTTAACGTTTCATTTTTGTTTTAATTGGGTCTATGTTATATCTTTCATCGAAAATATCTTTGCCCTTTCTGTCGTAAAAAATAATTGATGATTTCTTAGAATGGCCGTATATTTATCTCCAAGTCTGACGAGGCAAATCCAGAGATGTATATATCTAAAGATTTGTTGCGCATTTAATTATTCATATTGTGATTTACATCATTATTAGCGGAAGGAAAATAAAAGTCAATGTCGCGATTAATCGGTGATGCATCTCTGATGTATGCTTTTATCGCGCATAATATTATCGTACATGATATTATCCATTTAAGTATTCATACGGAAAATGCGCGCGGAATATTCGCGATGGAAAGTCTTTGAAAGGAATTTACGATGATAGTCGTTACCGGATATAAATGCGGAGTCTGTGAGCGGTGGTAGATCAAAATCGATACTAGGCAACAACAACGCGTGTGTAATTTCACTGCGGATATTCGACGAAAAGCGATACCCATTTGACGGGGATCCAAACTTTCAAACGCTGGCAGCAATCGCTCGGGAAATCCTGCCACTGATTAGACCTATTCTATTCTAAACGAAACCGAGATCGGCCGACCGCTGGACCGATCAATCGTCCGCAAGCGCATCCTTAATTCTGATTAAACGTAATCTTTGTAGAACCGAAGTTCGAGCGCAATTCCTCGACGTTTTCCTTATTCCCGCAATGGAACGGCGCGGCGGAAACTTTTAGAATTCGTAGGAGTTTGCGAACGGCGCGCAATAATTCGGGATACTTCATATCGATTGAATATCGTGACTAAAATCTTGCTACCCGTTTCTATTACTTTCATTAGAAAAATTGTCAACTCCTTTCTCGCTGCTAAAGCGAATCTTACACATACAATGTGTGATTCTCTTCATCAAAATTATTATAAAATGCAACTTTTCCGCAAATTATTGTATATCAATATCGTATAGTAATCTATCTGTAGCGAAGATTATAAAATTAAATTCTTAAGAGTGTTTTTTTTTATTTCAAGTTTGAAAAATTCAAGAGAATCTTATACTAATATAAAACTTTTATTTTTGTGCGAATTAGTTTCGTTTGAGTGCATTTAAAAGATGTATTTAACGCGTCACTGGTTTTTTTTTATTCGTCGAACGATCCTGTTTCATCGCCACTTCGTTGCAATATTGTATCGGCAATCGAGCAAATTGCTTCCTTCCATACAGCTGGTTTTCGAATTACGAAGTCCATAAATAAAGCCGTACCTACGGGGAATTTGTTGGCAGGAATATCGGCTAGCTGCGACCGTGACCATAACTTATCAGTATATCGCGCGAGCAGAATTCAATCGCGAAATAAAACGCCGCATGAGAGGCGACCACAGGTTGACATTGCAATCAGCGTCGCATATAATTATGCATTTTGAAAAATTTAAGTTTTGTCCGTATAAAATTCTTGTTTTATTTTATTTATTTTTCTTTAATGAGCATACATGATTTCGAATTTCACCTAATATTGGAAAACATTTCGCAGATATTGGGACCCCGGGTGTTCTCAAATTTAAATTTTATGCTAAAATATTTATAGATAATGCAGCTATGTGTTTATCGAATATATAATATATTATTATTTAAAACAGTGAATTCTTTCATTATAAAGTTGCTTTAAAATGGGGCGTAATTAAGTATCAAAAATATTTATAAATATTTGTTTTATGAAATTTATATGAAATTTTAAATACATGCCATTAAGTTTTATACATCCTATAAAGATTATAATTGAAAAGCGAGTATTCAATATTTATCGTGCTTGGAAAATAGAAATTAAATTTCTAATAAGCACAATTAAATTTTTAAATGCACAATAACGGTACACAAAAATGTATAATTTTCAATGTTTCACGTTGTTGGTATTCAACGTTTATGTTCGTGTAGTTTGAAACGATACAACAGAGTCTTACATCATTACACGCTAATTACATGCCTCGAAGATCTGTAATTTGCGGAGAGAAGCAGTCGCTTTACGGCATGTATCGTTTAATCTTGCTTTTGATTCACAAACGTTAACTGCTCTTGCGATTATCCCATTCTAAACTCTTGCTACTTGCTTATTGCCTTGGCAACGTACTGTAAAGTTGCGTACACATCTGTGTGTTTCGTATTTTTTGCTTAATTTAAATCGTTTAAATTATAAGAGAACAGATGCATGTATAAAAGAAAAGGAGAAATTTATACTGTATCGGATATCTCAAACATATGCGATGTGTAAGCGGTTTACAAAAAAAATATATTGTCGTTTATATTAAATCTCTATAAACTAAATCAAATTATTACCGTCGAATTGAAATAAATTTTTGTCAAAGAGAGAAAATTTTGTTTGAAAATATATAAATATTTATTAAATTAATTTGAATTAATATTGATAAAAGAACTTTGTATAATATTGAAATTAATAATTTAAAAAATATTCAGATTTATAATATTTTTTACTTTATGAGATAAAATGTTTAATATTTGAAGCTGCATGTGATAATTACAAATTAAACTAATTTTTGAATGACATTGTAACGATTTTAATAGATATTTCATGAGCCCGGGATATGCAAAATATATACGTATATTATTTTCCTATCGGATTAAGTCCGGAGAAGATAAATCTCGGATTAGCAAGAATACTTGCATTTGTGTGAATTAGCTTTAAATTCCTACACACTTGTTAATTATCGTGTTTGTTTTCTCGAGAACGATTCTAATTATAACGATTGATTAAAAGTTCAGATAAAATATCGCAACGTTGCATTGCTTATCTTTATTTAACGACAAATATCACGTGCTCCATAAATCGTGGCAATTTCGTTACACCGCTACAGAAGATGTCGAAACGATAGAAGATATAGAACTGCATGTGATCTCTCAGAGAACGACTTTACTTTGTATGGCAACCAGATGCGAAATGCAGTTTGCGATATATTTCAAGAGATTGGCTTCTATACGATTTCCCGAGAAATTGGAGCCGCGACGGAAGCCCCGGAGATACGTCTCGTGCGCGGATATTTTGTCTCCGAGACCGCGTTTTCTTCCGCCGTTAAGGAATAATTCAGCGGCGCGACGCCGGCTTCTCTCCTCAACAGGTGGGATGCGTCCCCGTGTTCGCGGCTTAATTTTAGAAAGTGTTAGAAAACGATGAAAAATCGACGTGTAGAAAATCCCGAGCGTGTCTCCTCCGACGTGAATCGTGTTGGGCAATCGCGCTTCTCTCGCGGACGAGCCGAAGGTTCTTCTGCTGCGCTTTCGCGCAAAGGCCATCGAGAGAGTATACCTCCGCTCCTTCTCTTCACGGTTCACCTTCTCCTCCCTGGTTCACCTTCTCCTACTCCGCGGAATTCGCAGGTCGCAGGTGTACGAGGAGCCGGCTATCGGCACAGCTTGGCCGTCGTGCAGCTTTCAGTCACTGCCTGGTCGTCGCCAGGTTCAGCGCCTTTCTCCAAATACCGATTTCACGTTAGATCGTGGCACGATAGAGAAATCTCTCTTCGGTTCCGGTTTATCTTATCGCGTCAGCGACACTCGATCACTTGTTTATCGTATCTTTAATAAGGTGTTACATCATAAAGAAGTCGGGTTTTATTAGTATTTTTTTACTTTTGCTCACTCCGAGAACAAATTGCACGCGAGAAAGTGCCAACGTGGTGCATTTCATTGATAGTGGAGTGATATTCGAATGGCATTCTGTTCTGTAATTTGGCATTGATATGTATTTATATATACGTGAACGGAAGTAAATATTCAACGTATTTGAAATGCAACATTTATTTAAACAGGGTAAGTTTTATGTTATATAATCACATATGTTATACATATGTTATCCTGGGAAATGTTATTTCAGAATTAAAAAAAAAAAGTTTGAATATTTTCGAAATATTTTTATAAAACGTAACAAGTTTTTTTAATATTATATATGCAAGATTTTTATCACGCAGAATTGCACACATGCACAAATTAATTATTTTAATTGATTTGCCACTCTAAAATCACGACTAAAGCAGATACGGTATAGTCATGTAACGTTAATCATTGACATATATTGTACATAATCTCACTAATTTATATAACTTATATATAATTATATTAACAAGTTAAATTTTCATTAATATATTATATAAATTATAATTTGTTAAATTTTGGCAACTTTCACCGATAGGATATTTTTACGCTATCACATTATTGTATAATGACACTAAATCGCGATATTATTATTTAATTTGTACAATTCAATTTTATCGCGATTCAATTTGAGTTTCTCTTCGTTGATTACTTTTGCGCGGTTGCAAATTATCATTATACCGGTCAAGTACACACGAAACTCGGAGCGTGTCGCGAATCACGCGACAAAGCGACGTACTTTAAATCAATTTTGTTGCCTCGAGCAATAGTCAACTCTCACATTGGAACGAAACGAAATATTCTCGTAGTACATAATAATGCATAATTATCATATTTATCACTAAAAACCGGTATTTTCTTTTAAGATATATTATTGGAAAACGGAAATGTTTGAAATATGTCATTTAAACAATAATTAAGTCATGTATATACAAAAAATTAAGCTGATTATGAATTCAAATTTAACAAAGTTAAAATAGAACTGTTATATATTTTCGATAATATGAAGAATAATGATGAAGGACAGCTGTCAAATTATGTCATTATCGAGAATAATTTCAAGCACAAATCTAGCTTATTTTTGAGAATAATTATTGCATAGTTTTTGCTCAATATTTTCTGTTATTATAAGCTATCAAAAAATGGCGTGTGCATGTATATGTGTACGTGGTTATTTTTAATATTTATCGTTTTCAATAATGCAAAGAAAGACAGAAAGATAAAGAGAAAAGAATCGTGTTACATAATTTGAGAAGAATGGTATTTTAAATTAAATTGAAGACAATATATAATTCAGTTTCAAAAACATTATACGATTAAATCAGTTGCTTTCGATATATGAATTTCTTTCTCGAAATATTTTAGATTTATAATCATTATAATATAATTATTTATTCTCGCAAATCGAAATACATAGATTATATTGCGAATAAAAATGGCTAACTTATGAATTAAATGTATTATCTGATTAAATCGCAATATTGGAGTAATTGCCGACAAAGTTGTCCGCTTCTCTCTGCTTCTCCTCTCTCTCTCTCTCTCATTCCAATATCTCATAAAGAAGTTGGCGAACAGTCTGGAGAATCAGCTTCGGCTGAGGAATCCAAGTGGTCTTTATACGTGTTTGCCCTTCCTATCGTTATGCGGTTGCTTCCGGTAACGGCCCAACAAACCACGAAGAAACTGCGATACAAACCAATGTTAAAGAAAGCCAAATGCTAAAGGAAGGCAGAAAAACATCCTCAATGATTGAGAGAGAAAGAGAGCGCGCGCTCTAGCAATCAATCCAGTGATGGCCGATTGCTTATGATTACGTTACGCCTTCGAAACTGCACATGTAATGGAAACTAGCACGATCAGCGAAAATTATGAGCCTATCGATATATTTTTATTTTTCTCGATCACTTCCTGCAATACTCATTCTTTATTTTCTCCTTTCTATTTACTCGAGAAGAATATAACGAGCACGCGGTGCTCATTCAATTTTTCAGTCATCAATCAATCAGATATGTTAATATGCGATTAAAATAAGATAGCCGTATCAATATGGCTTAAGAAACGTTAATAGATATCTTATTTGCTGAAAGAGATTTTTTATATGTATCATTTAGTAAACTTTAAAACACATGTGCTATATTCCAAAATCAGTTCCATCCAAAAGTAGTAAAATATAAATGTAACGAAATAATGAATGGCCATTACCGGCTTAAACAAAAATTTGAATTTAAAGTCCAAAATTCAACGTGCGCCATTATATTCAGATACTATATATATATCGATGTATTTTTCATCATTACATATTTTTTTACATCGAATTAAAATAGATTTCACTGGTCATTCACTGGTACGAACGGCGGTCATTCACATATCCTTATCCCGTTGACCATAATCCGCCTGCCGCTGTTCGGCAATCTGTGACGATCTGTAACGAATCTATTCGAATGGAATTTAAATTGAAGCGCGCGCTAGCACTGGTATATCGCTCACACACGATAAACTCACGAGGAAACTATGCGCGACAGAGAGAGAGAGAGAGAGGGATTCTTCCGCGCGCCTTTATTCGCACCAACGTTAAAGTATGCGGCGAGTTATGCACGCCAGTGTGTCGACTCTCGAAATCAATCAGATCGATTGGCGCGCGCGAAACCGTGCAGTGTGTATCGCATTTCCGACCTCCGCGAGAAAGCGAGAGAGAGAGAGAGGGAGTATTGTTTCCTCCGTTAGAGAGGCAGCGCGCGTGCGGATTTGTGTTGGCGGATTCTCGTTTCGGCGACTGTATCCCGGCGCTGATTGCGCGCCTGTTGCGAATCCACACACCGCCGCGGCGATAAATAAGCCGCTTACGCGGTAATCTAATCCCCGTATAGTCGTTTCCACTCTCGCGCGGTGTGCACGGAATGCGCTTATTAACTGTAGCCGGGAAAGAGAAAGGACGAATCGCGAGAGACGGAGATTGTCTTTTGGTAAGAGCGTCGGTGAAATGACGAAGACATGCATCTCCGGAGCCGGAAACGGATATGCTCCTCCGCAATACGATACACACCGGATTTGACTGATCTCACGACAACACAAACACGCGTTGCGTTTTGATTTCGCACTATATACCGTAACTTGTTTGGGAATTTCGCGCGGGATTCGCATTAAATCTTATTCAGCGTTTCTCGGCTTCGAATAGCTTCGAGCAATATAGAGGATGCTAGATAGTGTAAAGCCTGTATCTATTCGTATATAAAGGAGGTAAGATGTGATGCAAGCAGAGAGAATCGGGGAAGATATTCGAAGCATCCTATAATTCACGATAGTCGATTGATTTGATGAAATGATCTCTTGACCGTCTTCGAAAACATATATCGTGGTTATTAATAAGGGGGACAGACTAGTATTTGCCATTTGCAAGTAAAATCAGTCGTCTTTCGTCTATACGATTTTATTCGCCGACTGCATCACTACTGCATCACGTTCGAGTGCGGAATTTACATTTGCGTCGAGAACCGCGATACGTGACACGCGTGAGTGTTGAATTTGAACGTCTATCGTAATGTCGCATTGCCAGCTAGGTTTTGCATGATAGGCGTCCTTCATTGACCGCATCCCGTTACCCAATCTCTTAACCTTGCACTTGAGCGATTGCCGACACTTCCTTCCTGCACTCCGTTTCGCGATATTCGGTATGGACTGCGACGTGAAATTGTCGTTTCATTACGGCTTTATTACGTCCGTCGAAATTAGGTCGGGACTTTACGAGGTGAACTTTACATCGTGGCTGCGACGGCAGTCTGCGGTAACTTTACGAGCAGTGTTCATAGGAAAGGACACTGTCCCTGACATTTACTCGCCGTCGAGGATGCACGTTCGAGAGAACGTCTCCTATACCTCTTCAAATATTATTTCTAGAATTACTTATCTCGGGAAAGCTGGCTTCAATCTATGTCTAATTTCCCTATCTCTTTCTCTTTTTTTTGTCTCTCTAATTTACTATGCAATATAGAGAGTCCGAGAGATTTAATTTTCTGTCTCTTTATAAATCATATTGCATTGTCTGCAAGGTAGACAAAGAGCTAAAATTAATTAATCTAGATGGAAACCAGAAATTTATCACAAGATGTGGAGTAAACGATACTAATAAATATTGCAGGATTTTAACGATCATGTCTATTTAGGTCATTAATTTATTATGTCTAAATTTAATAATTCTATCATTAATAGGATAAAATTTTATATTGCATCAATTCTTGAAAGGCTTGTGTCTGATCTGAATAATATTCATTTACTTTTATTCCATTAAGTTAATCAATTATTTTCATTGCTAAGTTAATGGAATTTTATTGAAAGCATTGCCAATCATATTATGTATACAAAATTACTGTCGCTTTGATACCGTCTCTTTTTTATCGCATCGCTTTATGTTGTTGCATGCCGAGGTGATCGAAGCGTGTCTCTGTGTGTGGGAAGATGAATAGATTCATGAATATATCTCATTGTCATTTTCGCATATATTTTTCAGCGGATTAATCAAAATTGAGCGGCATAATAATATCATCATCGATGGAAATTTTAAAGGTCTTAATACAGTATCTTCTAATATTCAAAATCAAACTCGTTAAAATGCATATCGTTAAAAGCTTGCGGTGCCACACATCGCCTAGCACTAAATTTTTCATATCGTTATCGTATTGTCATTATCGTTTTCCACGCTGCAACCGCTGTATGACGGAAGCGGTCGTGTTCATTATCACGATCAATTATTATCGTTTAATAAGTCATTACGCAAATTGAGTCTGTGTAAGCAGTTTGTGTAATAGGTTCGAGTAATAATTGTGATCGCGGTTTAGTATATAATATTAACAGTTGTTATAATAATTTCATAATCGAACTATGTAGAGAGATAACGTAATAAGGTTAGCTAATCAAAAGATATGACATTTTCGATTATTCATTTATATATATAGTTACTATAGATTCACAAACTGAGAAATATTTTTAATATACATTTTTACTTTATAAAATATAAAGAACAAAAGCACTTTTAACGTGATAAGTAATTGTATAATTATTCTGACTAAAGTTATATTTTATTTATTAGCTATATTTATGAGTGTTGAATTATTTGTAACATAATTCCCGCATATCGTTGTTTATTATTTGTTTGTTGACTTTCT